ATCCCCCAGATCTTCCCTACAGTTTATTCTTCTCATTGCTTCTACTCTTATCACCTCCATCACTCACTCAAGCCCACGGTACTCAGCACCCTCTTTGACTCACAACACTCCTGACATCAAAATATTCAACCTGTGTTTTAAGTCCTGTATATTCTTGTTCTCTGTAACATAATGAGCATCCTCTGTTTAGCAACACAACTACATTCTCGGTCAAGCTGCTTCACCCTTCATTTACCATTTAGTCTTTCCTTTGGTGACAGCAGATCTAACTGTGTCCTTGTGCCAAGGAAAAGTTCCTACAAGATCATTTTCCTAGTCTGTGGCATTGCTTCCTACACAGCTTCTCACTTCCTGAATGGCAAACTATCACTCTTCATGTTTTGACTCTTTCACAGTTTACCTCTTCTTCCCAACACTGACATTCAGCATTGCTGTAAACTTTCATCTCTCACTGGTCTGATTCGATCACCCCCTTGTTAAACTTTCAAATAAACACCTCCTCAGTACTTGCCACTGTGCCTGAGAATAACTTCCCATTCACAGTCATAAAGCTGCCTGACTTTCCCTCTCAAATGCCTCCTAAAACCTTAATACCTACCAATACTCCCTTCAGATTAATACCTACGAAATCAAAGCTGGACAACAACGAGGCTGCTGGAATTCTGAAAGAGTGCTGTTGACATGTCCCCCCACTCACCTGGATCCCTTCTCTCTCATCTCATCCTTAAGCCATGAACTGTTCTGTGTTTTCACAGCAGGTAGCAGGATGGGAACCCAGCCTCAGGTGGAGGGATCACAGCACCACTGTGCTGCTCCCCTCCCATCTATCACGGGCTAAGCTGCACCTGCTCTCTTGCTGCCGACTTCCAGGCACCTACTGGGAGGCTGGGATTAGCAAACTACAGCATGGCAAGGCTGATTCACATTGCCACAAGCACAGCCTGAGGAACTCACTGGGCTGCTGCAGAAAGCCATGAGAAAAAAAGGACTTCAAAACTTTTTGTCTCCAGCTTGGATTTAACTTTACCTGTCTCAGAGGTTGCTTGCTATAGCTAAAACATAAACCTACAGAACAAATATACAGTAAATAGTAAATGAGTGAACTTAGAAACACAGTTCCATTTTTTGCACATCTTACTTAGCACCACATTAAATGAAGAATGCTTGATATCTAACCCCTGATTTGGAGAGCTCACTTACATGGCGGGGCCATGTAATTAAGCTGACAACCCCCAATTTCACACAGAGCATACAGAAGTCCAAGACTGAAAGAACATGAACACTGAATTACTTTTAAAGAAAGAAACAGACACTTTTAAAAATGCAATCTTGAACACTGTTATTAAAAAAATGAGAGCAACATTTTGGAGTAACGAGCAGAGATTACTCATTCCCTTGTTTTACACAAGTTGACTTTTGGCTTTCTGCAGAACACCATTTAACAGAGCACATTACCAAGCTGCTAGCCACTTTTCACAGTGATGCTAAAGCAGGTAAGAGACAATAAGTGGAACTGTTGATGGTTTATATTACTCTATTATGTTAATGTTCACTAAAGTATGCCATAAGCTCTCTCATTACATGTGTATAAACCAATTCTCTGTGGTGTTATTCCTGTGCTAAATGCTATAACTACATAAATCTTGAATTAATGGAGACTTTATAGTTCCAGAAAATGAAGGGTAATTGCTATCTGTTAATGCTGTTGTTGCTATTAAAGGAAGTATATATTTTCAGTAACAATGTTTATGGACCGTGAGCTTCACATCTCAGCTACTGCACAGAGAAGAGACAGTGTAATACAAGTACCAGACCGACTCCCTTTCTCTCCCTCCTCCCTCTCAAAAAGCACAGTATCATTTCCACAGCTTCAGTAAGCAACACTGCAATGCTCCTTAAAGCTGCAGGGCCCAAACTAATGTCCTTCACTGAACATACAGTAAAGGAAACAGCATTTGCATTTCCATCTCTGGGAACACATGATTTGCTAAGTTTCTCGCTTGGTTAAATGGCTGGACAGCTCACTTTATTAGTTTGGGTATCTCAAACAGTTCTGTGAGAAGCACATGGTGACAGAATGATAGGTGTGAGAAAGTATCATCCCACTTACTTCCTCTGAGATTTCAGCAGTGATGCAGAAGTGAAAGGCTATACTTGGCCAGAGACAGTTCTCAGAAAGTAGATGGGATTGACAAGTCCCCAGCCTTGAGCTCCTCTTCTCCGATTATTAAAAACAGCAGTGCAATGTTTGGAAACACTCACAATCTGCTGTGAAACTGTACCTTGCACTAAAGTAATGGCTTCTCTTTCTGATACACTGTACGTGTGACTGACTATGCTCAATTGCTTTTCTCCCCTGGAGCCCTGCACAGGAAAAAAAACCAAACCATCAGGGGTGTGTTTATATTTTACAATGCAACGAGGGTAAAACCTTAACTTTACTCTAATGTCTATGTTTGAAAACATTAAGAGCTCAATAGCCCATACACCTATGAACTAAATAAATAGTGCATAATTACTAGCATGGTACAGAGAGAGAAGTAGGAGGTGGAAAATTTCAGTTTTGCTTCTAGCTCAGTTGCTGACTCAGTTTGTACTTGTACACGGACTTTTTTTGTCTGCTTTCCTCGTGAGTTTTATGCAGGCGATACTGACCTGATGTTTATGACTAACAAAAAAATGTTATGCAAATCAAAAGTACATTAGTAATTCCTGCCCTGCCCTTCCTTAGTGCCAGCGTGGGTAAGTGTACCTCGAAAAAGCTGGTTCTTGCTGACCAGGCAGCAGAGCAGCATTGCTCTGCAGCAGTGGGGAAAGAAGCCGACCCATCATGTAATTTGGGAAGGCTGGTGCTGGGCTAGGCACTGTGCTGAATACTCCATCTGGCTGCAACAGCCTGGGAGCGTTAGCAGGAGATACATTTTGCCGTAACAGGGAGGAGGAAAATGTCCCTCAGGACAGTCACACCAAAATTTTTATAGCTCTTTGTTGCATCAGTCAGGTTAAATTTTAGACAAACACTGAATGAGTTTCCAGGGGAGTGTAGTAGTCAGGTAACAACAGAGCGAGTCAGGCTGCCCCTGTATTTCCCAACTGGAAGGCACTATTGCAATTATATTATCCCCATGAAAGGTTTGAAGCATCTTCACTTCAACCCTGGTGAATTTACATGCATGTGCCCATATCTTTGCTGACATAAAAGCAACCCCACTTAATTCCAGAGACCTATTTAATAGGACTGTGTCATGTTTCACGTCTCTGCAGATCAGGCAAGAGATAGAAAGATGATGATCTTGTGCTGCTTTCCTTATGAAGAAAAGAAATGTTATTATTAAGGCAGAGTCACCTTAAGGAGAAGGTAGCTGGGAAATAGGTGAGCCTAGAAGGTCAAATTACAGTTACAGAAATGTAAAGAAATGTCATATTAATGGTAAGGAACACTGTAATAGCCTTTCATTTGCTGTAAAGGACAGCACGTTACCAGCCAAACACAATGCAGCTTCCTCTGAAGGTAACCTCAGATCCCACATTCTGAAAGCTAATCAATGTTGTTCAGATTTCAATTTCTTCTCTACAAGGTGAAGTCAAACCTAATCTAACAAACGTCAGTCTCAGATGTAATGCCGCTAGCTGGGTCTACCAGTGTAATTTAGATAATCATTAATAGCATAGCTGTATAATAAAACTACATGTCACTTACAACTTCATCTGAGGTTTGACTGGCAGATCTTTAAACAGTTTTCTAAGTGATTGCTTTTACTTCCTTTGATTGGGCAGTCTGAGAAACGTTTTAACCCCATGGTATCTAAGCTTTTAGGGAACAATATTTCACCCTCACCACCCCTGCTGTCAGCTCTGCTGCTGTGTAACCTTGTAAGAAACACAACTCGGGGAGAGGGGTGGTCTCAGGGAGGGGACTTAATGCACATATACTCATATAAATTTAAAATAATATAGAATAATATATGTACAGTTTCCTTCATTCAACATACTATTTAAATGTTTCTCTTCAATCAAGCCGCCATTTCTAAACACAGCTTTTGCCATACTCCAAGAATATTTAGTATCTGATGGGATTTTTAAAAGAAAAAGTTGAAGAAGCCCTAATGTTTCTATAGCTTTAACAATATAAACAAAAAGCAAAAGACTTAACCAGGAGAAGCTTTCAGAGTAGTCTCTTGAACTCATGGTAACCTCTGATGCAGCCGGGCGTGCTGCTGAGGACACAGGGCTATCTGAAATCAGCCTTTGCTTGTGTAATGCTGATCCAGGAGAAAACTCTGTGCCACAGCTCCCCATCAATGAATGCAAGAGACTGGACAGCCAGAATATAAGAAAGGTTTGATGAAGATCTGCCCTGAGATTGCCAGGTTTGATCTGCCAGAAGCTGGCAAGGAATACTCAAGTCTTTTTTCTATTTGATGTTTAAAAGCATGGTGCCACTGGCACTACACAGTGGGACTTGTCTGTTTTCCTTGCAGAGGTGAACAAGAAACCCCCGTACACAAACACACAACTACAATCTTTCAATGACCAACCTCTGTACTCAAAAGAAGGTCAGAAAAATCATTGCTCTATGATAAATATGCATGCAACATGACAAAACACTCCTTGACAGTTACCACACTGCCTTGGAGGGCAGGTCCCATCTTCTAAACTGATTATAAAATTGACATCTTCAAAGGTTACTATATATAAAATATGGGCTCCCGACAAGTTATCAGAGGAAACTTCCTCTGAAACAGCACTAATGCTGTAACTCGGGTCTCACCAAAGGCTCACATAATAATCAATAAAGACTATTATGTTAACGGGACTTTCTTTCCTGTGAATAGAAGCTAGTGAAGATCACAGAGTAGCTGATCTGATGCTTTTTCATCCAATTGTAGATATTTTAAAATTTGACATGAAGACTGGAGGAAAATGTTATTTTCAAATTCATTCTTATTTTGACTATCAGGGAATTTCCAAGCACAGGAAATAAGAAAATTCAGTCTTACCTTATCGTCAATATCGCTCTCGCTGTCACACTGTGGATTAGAGAGAGAGAAAAAAAGATTTTGAGAAACACCTTTATGTACAGGGATCTTTTGCATCATCCTCTTAAATCTTTAGGATAGCTGTTTATGATGTTCACAGTTCAATGAAACACACTTCTGATGTTTGCAGTAATGCCTTTTACATTGCTAGAATAAACCAGACAAAGCCAGATCCTCTCTTACACAAAGTTATGGTGTGCTCTTATTGGATGGGGGAAAGCAAACTTTAAACAAAAAGACAATCAGTGATGCATTATAACAACCACTTTAACATGAGTACCCCAACAAAAAGCATGCCTTTTTATCATCCCAAATCGTGGAATATATAGTAACAGTTTTGCATTGCTTCACCTTGATAAGCACTTTGTCATCTAACAAGGAAACTGTGAAACTGGCAATCAATTTCTAATTTAATGAGTGGTACCAAGAATAGTAATTAAAATACATCATAAATTCTGGTACACTTTTTAGTTTGAATGAGATCACGATCCCAGGAGGAAGTGTTTACTTAAAGAGTTTTGGAGTGCAATCTCTTTCAGGCTCTGAAAATGAAATGCTCTACTTTCACAGCACAAATGATGGAAAAATAACTTGAGCGCTGAACATTTCAGGACACGCACATCTTGCTGACTGGAGCTCAGAAAGATTTACAGTTGGGAACAGCAGTAAATCTCTTGGTGTCTGTTATGATGACAGAAGTGGTCAGTGTGTTCTGTAGCCTTGGTGCCCAGTGGGAATTTCCTCCTTCAGCCAACTGCTGATGGGGATGGCCCAGCGGGCTTCTGTAACTGGCAGCACCCTACAGAGTTCACTGGGTCAACAAGAGGGGACTCTGCAAGCCAGCAGTGGCAAGCTCCAAATGTGGAAGTGGTCCATGAGAATGCATATGCTTTGGTGTCATGAATGTAAAAGCAGAATAGATCTGTTTGGTCATTTTGCCCAGATTTCCTCCTGGAGAGGGGAAGAGGGATCTTTCCTGTCACATTCTTTTATCCTCAAGTCACACAGCAGCAATTTCAGCTGTTATGTTCTTAGTTTTCTGCTGATTTATGAGAGAATATTTAATCTCTTCTTCTTCTATTTGGCACATGGAATGATTGACCCTAAATACTTGAGGAATCTTTTATTTTTAAATTCTCTGAAACACAGCAAGCACACAAACAGCCCCAATATATTGGAGGAATCTCCCACAGTGCTTCTGCAGTGAAGAGTGCTCAGCTTCCCGACTGACACCTTATTCCCATTTTACTGCAGTGAAAATGCTTGGTTTAAGGAAGCTGTTTTTCTACAGTCTTGACTAAGCAGAACTCTTTTTCTTTCAAAAGGAAACCATTTTACACTGCCCCACACGATCCACAGCATGTTTTTCACTGAGAAATCCAACTGTTTAGTAGGATGTGCACAGATCTAATTGTATGTGTAACCATTCTGGAAAAGAAAGAACCTGAAGAAAAATGATAGAAGTAATAGGACGCTGCCTTGCAGGGGCCAGGAACTGTGGGTGGGCAAGTTCTATGGGAAAAAACAGTGTTAATATCAGCAAATACTGCTTTGTAGTAGGCAAGAACATCAGACAGCCATGTCTTTAGTAAATACCTTGCCATAAGCCATTTGTGCCTTTTTTGTGACTTTTATTCTGTCACTGACCTTTATGAAAATTATTATACGAAACACAGTTTCTGTTTTTTTTCACAAACCGAAAGTCATGAGCAGCCATCTGCTGACTCCCCCAAACCCGTGTCACACAACCACAAACAATTAGAAGTGTCTGCTCTGGGCTTGGAATGGGAATAATTGTCCATCACATCAAGACACACTGAAACAGGTTAGCTGGGCAAAGGCTGCCCCAGTACCTGCTGCAATTGTGCTTGCTCAAGACAGAGATAATTCACACTGACAGAGCAACACATTCATCAAAACTCAGGCGGGGGGCGGGGGAAGATGCAGTCACAGCAGTCCACTTCTTATTATTTACATGCTCCTGAGAAACCCTGGCTGAGTGGAGGGAAGCCTTTCACCTCCACCCACAGGGAGCTCAAATCAAGCCCTAATGCTACAGAGACTGTGCATTCCCCCAAATTATCGGCATAATGCAGTGGGTCACAAAGACTTTGTTATTTTACCCTTTAAAGCCTGTCTACGTGAAAGTATCCTAAGTTGCCATTTTAATCTTGGTGCTCATTCAACATGAACACTCGTATTTTAGAGGCAGAATATTTTGATGATGTGATTCATTGCTCAGACTAAAGCATGTTACAGTAGAACGACACCTATTACAAGAATGGCATAAAAATAAGTTAGCATGCTCAGCCATGGCTTTCTTCAAATTGTATGCTTAGGCAACATCAACACAAATTTTAATTCTAACAGGGGCTTAAAAATTATACACTGCAATAATAAAATAACCAAATAAATTAAACTTTGAAATCCATTGACTAGAAAGCATTCAAAATTATCACTAAATCTCAGATGGTTTTGCCTATGAGTCCTGGTTTAATAAAACTTCAGTACTGTAAACATTACCAAATTTAGCTTAAAAGTATTTGAGTTCTAAACAATTTTTTTGAACTGTAGTAGCCATTATTATTCAAATACAAGGTAGTATTTTAGTCTTCTCTGGTTTTGTAACAAAACTTGTCTTCCTATTTCTTACTGCATTATGATGTTAAAAAAAAAAAAAAGAGGAGAGGGCTTTTCTTGTTGAAAACAGATTTGACCTCCAAAATTTGTATGCCTATGAGTAAAAAATCCTCTTACAGATGTTTTACATTATTAAAAGGTGCAGAGTTGCTTTATTTAGATGCCTAATTTTGCTTTGTACCAATATGCAACTTTGCCTCATGTAGATAAGTGAAAGTTGCAAAAAGCCAGTGAACCATCAAATCCACATGCTAGATTTTATAAACAGACATATGAATGAAGCAAACAGCTGCTCTCTGAGGATACATTTTTCCCCATTCAGGATCTGTAAAGACTTCATAATTAATTGCTTTTAAAATGGAAAAGACAGCAAAGAATTTTGTTTCGTTTTAGCTTACATCTTCCTTACTTTAATCATGATTGCATCAGTCCTGAAACTGCAGAAGGCAGCAGGGCTGTGGATGCAGATCCACACGTGAATGTGGCTCAGTGTGGACACAGAGCCTTCCGTGAAGCTGTGACTGCAAGATGAGTGGTCTAAAAACTGCATTTGTGGCAGTAAGTTGCCTAATTTCTTGTTGGCCTTGTGAAAGCAAGTCCTCTGCCCTCTCTGCACCCATGCAGGATCACCCACACACAAGAACTGTCCCTCGTATTGGCTCCTACCTGGCTTTAAACCACCAAAATACTTTTCTTTATCCATGTGAGAATGTTCCAAACCGGCCCACAGTATGAGAGATCGTGAGGAAGAATAAACACATTGATATTTATTAAATTTGGACTTCTGCTTAACATACAAGAAAAGAAAAAACTTGAGACTCATGGCTACCAACCTATGGTAACCTCCCACCGACTCCCGAAGAAAATACAACCAGCTTTGGTGGAAAAGGCCCCAAGCGTCAGAATTCCCAGAGATTTGCTTTGTTTTATGTAAAAGGAACAGGCTCCCACACTGGCATCAAGAAACAGGAACCCAGAGGCTGCTGAACGAGCAAGAGCGCCGAAAAAAACGACGACAGCAAAACCAAGCGGGCCCAGACAGAGCTGCAAAAAGCAGAAGCACTGCTGACCCCTCTCCCTTCCCTTGGCCAGGGGGCTGTGTGATGAAATCCCCCAGTTTCGAAGGGCTGGTTCAGTTTTTGTGGGAACAGCCTTCAGCCTCCTCACGCCTGCTCGGCTGCAGCCTCCTCCTCCTCCTCCTCACCTCCAGCCGCACAGCCCCGGCTCGGCACAGACACCGAGGCAGGGACATTGCATCGCTGGGGTGCTGAAATCAATAACGGGGTCACAGGAGGAACTTTGGTTTGGCCACAGAGGATTTTCTGTGTCTTAAAAGCCAACTTATGCCGTGTGAGGAGGAGGAGGAGGCCATGCTGCGAAGGCTCAGGCTGCCACCCGGCCAGGCTCACCTCCCACGCTGCTGTTGTTGAGGGACAAAAGCCCTTGTCACAACAAAAAAAAAGTTAAAGAAAATGTGAAGAATGGCAACTGTTGAAAGCAATGGGGGCTCATTGAAAGACAAAAGCTTCAATTACCTGGATTTTTCTAAAGGCCTGTTAACACTCCTGGTCTATAAGCAGGACTGTAAACAGCCATTGTACTGGGTTCATAAAGGCCCCTAAAGGGATTATTCACTGGGTTGTGCCAATTGCCTCTCAATTCCACCAAGAATGTTTGCAAAGTCGACCCCTAATTGTGCAGCTTTTTGGAAACAATTTCTTGCAGTGACAGGTTCCAGTTGGAAGGAAGCCTCCCATGAGGTGAGGTTCAGCAGGAAAAACACAAAACTCAGGAATCCCAGACAGAGCATCCATGTGTGTACACTGGGCCTTGTGGCTTCTCGTTTTTTTGATGCCTGGGCTGAAATCTCGCTTTTCAAGACTCCTCTCCATCATGGCTTTCCCACCAGGCAAGGAGCTGTGATGTATTCCATCACCTGCTTCTACAAACCACCTCCACAGGGGACAAAGATTGACTTATGGCTACTGTAAAACAGGCAACAGTGTATTTGGCAAAGGACCTTCTCTTACCATTAGACTGGCATCAAGTTCCTTATATTAAATCTGTACTATGATTCTCGTTGTTTTCTCGTGAGTTTAGGAATCAGGAGAATATCCTTTGACTCTTTTCTTACCCCCAATGCTTTAATTACTCCATCCAGCTTCTTCACATAATGAAAACACTACACTGATTAACTGACATCACACAGTCGTGTAAACTGTCTCATACCAGGAATAAGAGCTTCAAGAAATGAAAACAAAACCAACCCACTCTCCTAAAACTGCAACAAGATTGGCAATTCACGATGGGTGCAGAGAAATAGGGTTATTTCAAACGGAGCCACTTCCTCT